TCGAGGCCGTCTATGCCGCATCGATATCCCACCGCTCCTCCTCTCTCGCTCCTCTCCATTTTTCTCCCACCCAGCCTCGACCGTGTTCACGGATCGCTTTCGACGGATCGAATTCGCGTTGCACTTTAATGCTAACTAAACACGATTCGATTTCTTCGATCTTTAATCGCGGTAATTAGGATAAATGTGAAGGGAAATATTTAATCTTATTTTCAATTATAAGTATATATACAACTCGTCACCAGTGCGCAAGCATTAATAATCGTTGGAAGCTGGAGGAACGGACGCGTTGATCCGCTGTAGAGAAGAAGCTCCCATAGCGGAACGAGCCACCGGCGTGGGAGAGTTGGAGGCCGGTTCATCGTTTGCCTGTGTCTCTTCTCCCCCTCCTCCGTTTCTTCTTCTTCTTCTTCTTCTTCTTCTTCCTCTCCTTCTCCCTCTCCTTCTCCTATGTCCTATGGGAACGAACCTACCGAAGGGATCCCTGCTCGCGCGAACCATGCAATATATTGCCATTTGTTCCGGCCGCTATAAGGCAATATGTTTGTCAGTATCGCGGAATCGAACGCGAACCCTCGAACCTCTCGACGAGAGAGGAGTCTAGTAGAGGAGAGTTGATCTTGACCGTTATTTCTCGGGTGCATATGGCCTCGGCTCCCGATACCACCTCCCGATATCTTGCCAAACGGCGATCCGCGAGCCTCTCTCGATCGCTCCTCTCTCGCAATCGATAAGTCTTACACGGGGAACCTTCCACTCCTTCTTCCTCCCCGTCTTAGACTTGTTATTCATTTGTTGCCCGTACATCTTCCGCCAATCGCCGCGCCGAGCTACACCGAGTTAAGGCTAACGATCCGATCCGATCCGGCCTTTTCTCTCCTCTCCTCTCCTCTTTCTCGCTTTCTCTCTCTCTCTCTCTTCTCGCTCTATCTATGCATCGGAAACGGGGGATAGCTGATCGTTATTCGATCGTCTCGATTGCCGGATAAATTTCGCGTGCCCCCACTTTCTGGCGAAATTCTTCTCCTTCGAATTCGAGATCGCGAAGAAAAAGAAAGTGTGAAAAGATCGAGTTTGGGTTTTAAATTTCTCGAGGTCGACTATCCTCTCTTGAAATTTAATAGTCGAAGTTAGAAACAAAGTTACTTCGACAAGTTTGAAATAATTTCACTGAACGAGGTTAATAAATAAATGTTATTCGAGCATTTGAACATTAAAGTTTGAAACAGGTTAATTCCCAATGGATGAACGGCGGCGAGGAATTAAACAATAAAGGATCGTCGACTGTGACGCAGACGATTCCCCGTCCCACAGGTTTTCAGCCAGGCTGCTTTTCATCATCTGATCGATTTGTATTTTCATGATGATGATTTTATCCTGGCGAAAAAAAGTGGACGGAGAATATTTGTTGAAACGGTTTCGAACAGAAAAAGGGAGATGTTTATCGAGGCATTTTTCCGAGGCGATTCAAACATCCTCCTCCTTCTCCTCCTTCGTTTTAAAATGTATAGAACGAAACTTTTCTCCGTATATAAATGTATACCGTGACACACGTCGACGAGATAGATACGTGTTCCCCATGAGGAACACATTTTCCGATCCCGAGCCCACGGTCGGGGACCGGCAAAGAAAGATAGAGATATTAATCGTGGCGGCACGCTGTCCACTATAAATAGCGAAATTATATCGCGAACAGGTTGTGACGATCCGATTCGAGATAGATGAGAGATAGCCCCTCGGATCGGCGACAGCGGAAATCTCGCGTATCGACTCGAGGAATTCCTCGAGTTTCTTACGGCAAAAATCGATCCTCCTCTCGATCGCGATTGAATTATTATGACGTTAAAACGGGAAACGGGGGCCGTTTCTTCTCTAACCTTCTCCTCTCGACGTTGCGTTGTCGATAATCATCGACACGATTGTTCTTGGGATCGAGGTATTTTGAATCGAAAGCTGTCCTCCTCCTCCTCCTCCTCCTATCGTTTCGTATCTGCATTCGAGTTCCTCGATTTCGTGGAGGAGAAATAAATAACGTTCGCGGGGGATATTAGGAAAACGCGTTTCACGAGATCGGAGATAAAAAGCGGTCGATCGAGGGGGAGGGACGCGATATTACATACGTTAGGCTGGGTTCCAGTTGTATATGCCTGGCGCGTATGGTGAATGGAATTTTCTGTTTGCGTTAAATCGATGGAAACGGGAACTCTGGATTCTATTACGTTGTTGCGAGAGAGGGTAATGGAAATTGCGTGGTGATTATCATTTGTAATTGTGTGAGTGTGTGGCGAGTGTGGGGCACACGGACGAGGGGGGCAATGGTGGTAATCTCGGTTCGAAGAAGGAACGACGGGAAATTATCTTTCTATGCTTTCTTATATAAATATTC